ACTTATTGTTCGTCCCTGTCTCTCTCTCTGTCTGCCGAGTTTCATCACTTTCTGGCCACTATTTCTTGGTGTTCCATTTTCAATGTCACGCAGTGTATTTACTAGTATAACGTATGAAGACATTAAGACCCCAATGTTTCTTTTCACAAATAAATCAAACTTCTACTATCTTTACTGCGATAAAAAATATTGGGAGCGCTTGAATCATCAGTGGTAAACCCTCCTAGTGGTTTCGCCAATTCAATCTACCAGACTGCTTCTTTGGAGCTCTAATACTGTATTGGATCATTCGGCTTTTATATGCCGCACTGAAGGGTGGAATCCCAGAAATGGTATTTAAGCAAACTATGGACATGAACTTTTAGGACAGTAGAATTACATTTAAATGTTAACTAGTGATGGTATAAAAAGTTAATTATGAGAAATTCTTATCTTGAATAAGGATAATATAAATTTTGATTATTATTTTTTGTTCTGATATAAGATGAGATTCTGATAATTAAGTTCGCCTCATGGATTGTTTCATCCTTCACATGATCCATAGGGATAAAACGAAATAAAGAGATGGCATAAATCCCTTTAAGTACTTATGCAAATAAGCATAATCAACATGGCTTCCAAGTGGCTTGCCCTGAGTAAATATAATTTGTTAAATTAGCTATAGCCTTCAAACTATATTTGAGTCTAGAATTTTTCAAATTCGCCTTACCTTTGCGATGGGCGCTAATGTTCTAGTATGATTACTGTAACGTTTCCTATTTAGAAATAAGGGACAGTCACAATACTTTGTGTTTTAATATTTAATTAAATCACAACAAGGTTAACTATAATATATAAACAATTACTTGTGTAAAATTAGAGAAGGAGAAAAGTACAGTGTTTCCGACTGCCTAACTATGAAGAAAAATCAAAGAATAATTCAATATTTTACATGAATAAATACAAAGCATGTTACAATTACATATTTTAAAATGTTGTTTTCAAGTGAAAATTTTATTTTTCAAATATATTATACAAATATGTATATCTGTATATCCTCGCATCATCTGTTAATGACATAGATTCAAGAGATTTTTTTAACTCCGCCTTTGCCGGTCCCAAGCCCGGAATAAAAAAGGAGGAAGGAGAGCAGTAACAAGCTCTCTAAAAAACCTGGGTTCAGCTGGCCCGGCTGATAGTACCCTGTAAGGGTTCCTAATCCAGGGATATAGTATGAACAGCGTTTGTACTCCGTGTTAGGAGCGGCTGCACATGGTGTCTGTTCCTCATGTCAGAGGCGGCCATTTCTTTTGGAGCTAAGTTGGCCTGCCACTGAGTAGTGCTCCCAGTCTTAATGACAAAGGCAGACGCATTCTACTTCACCCAATCATGATGGTTGTCAAACACATTATTGACTGTATTGACTCATCCATTGATGAGCTCTACTCTTCCCCGGCAGACACCATCAAAAGTCTCAGGCTTTACAAGCTTGATACCATAATATGAATGAGTGGAGATAATAAAGAAGAAGTGATCTTTTGTTGAAGGTTTACTCTTTGGATATTTCGATAGAAATACAATGCCTAGGTTTAAAAAAAATACAAAAGACTAAAAAATCTGTAAAATTTTAAACTATTTGAATAAGAAACTCTCTCTTTCTCTCTCTTTGCCCAAAATCTAGTTTTCTAATTCAGATAATTCCTGGTTAACTATCCTTTCCATTTAAAACTATTATTAAATTTTCGGGACTATATATTTTCCCCGACATTACGACAGAGATCGATGGCTGCCTTAAGTGTTAAAGACTATCAGATCTTTTAAACAAAATTAACAAGCAATCCAGGGCTATGTCTCATTTAACTATTTTTTTACAATTATTTCTTGTATTTCCCAAACTTTCGGGCCCAATAGGTTTATCAACAGGTGACCTAGAAGTACCACTTTCAGCCAATTATACACACGCGTGTATAAGCTTGGGAATAAAAATAGTTTGGGAAGAGTAGAGCTCATCAATGGATGAGTCAATACAGTCAATAATGTGTTTGACAACCATCATGATTGGGTGAAGTAGAATGCGTCTGCCTTTGTCATTAAGACTGGGAGCACTACTCAATGGCAGGCCGACTTAGCTCCAAAAGAAATGGCCGCCTCTGACATGAGGAACAGACACCATGTGCAGCCGCTCCTAACACGGAGTACAAACGCTGTTCATACTATATCCCTGGATTAGAAACCCTTACAGGGTACTATCAGCCGGGCCAGCTGAACCCAGGAGGCATTCCAGTCTTGATCTGATTCACAAATAGTCCCATACATTATATAGCGAAATAAAATTTATTATTTAATTTAATTATTCAATGAAATATGTGAAACAGATTTTTAAAATTTGATATTTGCTAAATCATCATTTAGTTGCCTAGCTTGATTGCTCGATATTCTGTAGCTGTAGATAGTTTTGTTATTTTGTTAATAATTGTCGACTTGTCGCGGTGACGTCATCAATAAATACTTTCACACCTTCAGATATACAAAAACTTGGTTTCTACGCTGCAATATATTTTATAAAAATCACATACACTCTGTCGCGAATTTTGAAAAAAGGATAGGTAATTCAATTATTAAAAATATATATATAAGGAGAGATTTATAACCCAGATTCCTGGAGCGCAGAACGCCAACTACCCAGAATAATTTCTAACGTTTTACCAAATGTTTCAATTATTTTCGCTCCTGACGAAGACAAGAGATTTTTGTCGAAACGTCGAGATAATAAAAAAAATTACTGGCCGAAGTATCCTTAATTTGAAGAGCTATGAATGCCTGCCAGGCAGCCTCTATCTTTACAATAATCAATTATTAATATTGAAACAAAAAAGGCATATCCTGATCGCCACATGAGAATTTTAGATGGCAGAGCACCATCTAGTGGAACAAAAATCAACTAAACGTTGATTAAACTTTTTCCATAATATTTAGCAAATTTCTATTTTTTCATATATATCATGAAAATTCTATGATTTTATTTATAATAATTTTTTAAAATAAAAATTACATAATTAAACCTTTATATAAAAAGGCATATATTGGATCAAAATATAATTTATTTTATCAATATTTCAGTTGGCCTAAACGCCAACCTTTTTCAAGGTATTAAAACATATTACATAATTACATATTATTTGGAATACACAAAAGTTAAACGCTTCATCGTTTCGATGTTACGATAAAACTGGGCGAGGATTCAAGAAAAAAAAGATTATTTTCCTCACGGCCCTAAATAATAAATTAAAATTGAGTCTTCTATATATATACTCTTTCAGGTTTTGTTTAAAATACTATAAAATTCTCTAGAATTTAGAATATATATAGAAGCGCGAACAACGCATTTAAGAGTCAAATCCAGCAAGAAAACAAATGACGTCAAATCAAAATTAATGATTTAAATGAGAATATCGTTCAAGACTGGACTAAAAAGTCATCTAATTTTAGTTAAAAACGATTATATAAAGAGGTGGATGGAATAAACAAAAAGTGTGGAGACCAAAAAAAGAAGCAGGAAAGAAGAGATTGGGGGTAAGGGCAATCCTAGCTGCCTCAAGGAAGGGGAAGTGTCCAATGTCAGGAGCACACGTGTGGCCTTGCCAACGGCACTTACAGTACCTGCTGCCTCTCTTGTGGAGTACTTTCTCCTTGGCACGGTTTGCTCTGATCTCTTCTCCTCTCTTATTATTCAAACCCCATCTACCACAATACGGGGGCTTCTTTCAACATTGTGTCTCACTCTTTTAATCCTTTATTCTTTTTCTAAATTGTTTATTCATTTTAATTTTTTAAATGTTGGTACAGTTAAACTTGTCTATAGCGCCTCCTCTAAATAGCGTCTCCCTCTCTATAGCGTCCGATTTTAAATACGTAGTACGATGTGATTTACATTAAAAGTGACCTGTCTATAGCACCCCCTCTCTATAGCATCCTATTTTGGTGAGTCCCAAGAGGGGGCGCTATAGACAGGTTTAACTGTATATATTTTTCTCAGATATATTCTGCAATAACCTGGTGTGAGCGTTTTTTTATATAAAAATTTGATATTACTCATAAAAAACTATATAATTAATTTAAATGTTGTAAGGTATTTCTCTCTCTCAATATCATAAGTATTTAAAATATTTAAATAATAATTTGTATATTCAAATATTTATCATTAATTTATTCACGCGATACTCCGTAATATTATCACAAGAAACTTAGCCCTTGGAATCTTTGTTTATTATATTATATAATTATGTGATTCAGCTTATATTTATTCTTTCACATCGTTACTATATGGATCTGAAATTAAATATTAAAGTTATACAATGTGGTGGTGCTAGTGTCTTGTCCAGTTTCTGATTTTGGTGCTCCATGAAAAAGGAGGTGCCATTGTCCCGTTAGGCAGCCACATTTCAGAGTTCCCTGTTCACAGTTACCGTAGCGGCTCGGGGCTCACGACACCGTACTACAGGGCAGTTCCTTACTTGTGCTGCTTCTCCCAGCACAATATAAAACATTATAATAGTTTCAACATACTTAATGGTGAATAAATTTTAGAGAGTAATGCCTGCACCACGTTAATAGCGCTCCTAATATATATTTATAAGCAATCAATTTAATACTTTTTTAATCAAAGGTTGTTTTGGTCATTATCATTTAGGAATTACAAATAAACATTTTGTTGTGAAAATATTCCTCTTTAATAAAGTAAATAGCTCTAATATATTTTAATATTTCTTTTGACATTGCAAATGTAAATAGATCTTAATATGTCATTTCATAACGTATAGAAAATTTGTTCTAACAAAATTTAAAGAATTTTGGATATCCATACTATAAACAGTTTCCATAATACCAATGGTGAATTGATTACATGAAATCCAATTACCTATTGCCTTACACCTCTAACTAATATCACTTGAAGTGATATTAGTGATTGTGAATCTTCTTCTTTATATCCTTGTAGCATTGAACAGTCCCTCTTTCGAATTCCTAACACATTGAGATTATCGTCCGATCACCAAAGTTAAGCAATGTCGGGTCCGGTCAGTACTTGGGAGGGTGACCACTTGGGAACACCGGGTGCTGTAGGCTATTATCTTTTATTTTTTCAAATATTATCTATAATAAATATATAAAGCTTTATGCATCTTTATATCCATATAGCATTGAGCAAGTCCCACTTTCGAATTCCTAACACACTTCAATATTGTTTCCATCGCTTGTAGATAACCTGTAACTTTATATCCATCATCATGTTGAATAAATTAGCTTTTAGTTTTAGTTAAATTTTAAAGTCGATTTATCAAATTTAAAAAGCACATGAATGAATCAAAGATATTTAAAATAAGAAGTTTAAAATATATTGGGTGTTATATCAACATGTTACAGCAAGCATGTCAAACTCGCGGCCCGCGGGCCTCATGCGGCCCACAACGAATAAATTTGCGGCCCACCAGATAATATATTTTAATTTAAAAAAATTATAAATTTAAAAAATAATAATAAAAATTTGTAGCCTAATTTTAAAAATTTTATACATAATTTATTTATTAATAACGAACCACTGGTCGCCATACATAAGTCGTAAGTTTTGATAATATTATACCTACATACATAACGTATGTATTGTGTGCCTTAAAGTTTAAAGAAAATATTCTTTCGGAGTACTAGAAATTTTTTTTTTTTAAGTTACGTTCAATAATTTGTGCGGTTATTCTGTGTCTTGTAAGTTAAAAAATATTAATTTAAAAAAAAAATTAAAATATTAATTAAAACGATTTATTATTTTGTGTTAGCGATTAGTAATTTTTTTTCAGACCTTTGTATATTAACTTTACTTTCTTTTTTCTTATTAGTATTTTAAAAAATAAACCTACATAAATGTTACTATAAAAATTTAATTACTTGTTTTCTTTTTTTGCGGCCCACATAATCTTATTACTTTTTTATTTGGCCCGTGTTAGGATTTGAGTTTGACATGCTTGTGTTACAGGCATTACCTCCTTAAATATTGTTACATCATGATTAATGGCGTATTTATTATATTATTTTTAATATATTTGAAATTTAAATTATATATTTATTTATTTTTATATTCTATGATATTTATTTAAAACAGATTATTTTTATATTATCATCATTTGTATTTAGGTACACTGTGACTTCACTGCTCTCTTTGATGTGAGAAAATAAATAAAGGATTCTGGTGGCTACATAAAGTAGACTTATCTCATTATTCCCTTTTATAAATTTGTAGGATGGTTGAAACACGCTCTGGTAAGATGCAAGACCCAGCACAGGAGAGAATCAAGGCTGAAGAGTCTGCCAAGCCGCAACCTGGTGCAACAATTGGTAGAGATGCTAGTTCCGACCCAGTTGTCCTGAATCCCAACATCGACATCCCCAAGTATGATGGAACAGAAGACCCTCGCCCATGGATTGAATCTCTTGAAGAAATTGGCTTCCTGTACCATTGGGCAGACTACATTATCTCCCGTTATGCTGCCATGAATATGATTGGTAGCGCCAAAACCTGGCTGAACCTACACAAAGTAAGTTTCACCAGCTGGGAAAATTTCAAGAGCCGCCTAATTGAGGATTTTGCCTCAGACGCCAACAAAGAAGAAATGAGGATGAGATTAAACAGGATACAACAGTGGAATGAACCTGCAATCAGGTTCGCAGAGGATATCCTTGTACTGTGCAACAAGGTCGACCCCCCAAATGGAAGAAGAGACTAAAATAAACTGGGTTATTGGAGGGTTAAAGAAAGAATACTCTTTTGCCCTTCACCTAAACCCTCCTAAAAATATCAATGAACTTCTAGAAATTTGTAAAAAGCTGGATTTGTTCGAAAAGAATTACCAAGAACGTGCAGAAAAATCAAAAGCTCTTTATAATGGACCACGCTCTCCTCGTCCCCATCATCAAGAGCAATGGAAGAATGCTACGTCGTTCAGAAGACCATATCAGAACACCTCCAAGCCCCAGGCCCCCGCTCCGAGGTACTACCAGAACACCTCCAAGCCCCAGGCCCCCACTCCGAGGTATTACCAGAACAAGCATCTGCCCCTAGACGATCTTACACTCCCAATCCTGAGCCAAAACCGGTCTACCCAAGTAAAATATACAATAAGAATCCAAATTCAAATAGGAATAGGACAGAAGACGGGAGACCAATATGTTTCAAGTGTAACAAGCCAGGACACGTAGCGCGGTATTGCAGTCAGGTTTGTAAGAATTGTGGAAGAGGACCCCATAGTTACACAAGACAAGGTCGAAGAAGAAATCCGAATGGATAATGGAACTCAGAAGTCGAGACCTCTGCTCTACTCTGACGTAAGTAATAGCCCGTACTCGAGTATCCCTACAAGGAATAGATATGCTGCATTAGAAGATTTAAACTAAACATCGCGCCTGAGTCCGTCAATCAAAGCAAGTCGACCATAAATGGAATTAAAAAGTTAGACCCCAAATATAAAATGAACATTAACGTGGATAGAATCGGTATCTGCGAAGCTTTGATTGATACAGGCGCCGATCTTTCAGTGGTCGACCTTAGTACAGCTCTTAACACAGGTCTTGAAATAATAAATCCTGATAAAATGTGCTCCGGACCCGATGGCAAAGAATTAGATATCGTAGGAAATATTATTTTAAATATAAAATTTGATGACAAAACAATTACACATCAATTTGTGATAATGAGAACACATTTGCGAATATTTATACTTGGACGTGATTTTCTTAAGAAAATGAACGCAAAAATTGATTGTCAGCGTGAAATAATCAAATATGACTTGACAGAAAATCGTGACGTAATCAAATATCAACAGAAGAAAATAAAAAGTGCAAAGGATGCCATTATACCAGAACTTTCTATTAAATTGATTAATGCATTTGTAGAAGCAGAGGATGGCGAATACATCATCGAGGAGAACCATAAAATGTTTCAAACAAATGGACTTCGACTAGCGAGAAGCTTAATAAATGTTGTGAATAAGGAAACATATATCTGGATAACAAACCCTTACCCTCGACCATTAAAAATATTAAAAAACCAAACATTGTGCTTTGGAAGCCAGCCAGCCGAAGTGAATCTTATGGAAGAAAGTGAACAAAAAGAGCATGAAGAACCCCAATTTCAGATAAACGAAAATTTAGCATATACGGAAAAGGAGCAATTGAAACAAGTTTTGGAAAGGTACGAGGATTTGTTTTCGTCGGGATTAGGAAGATCCAACTTAGCGAAACATCGGATCGATACAGAAGGCGCGAAACCGATCAAACACAAGCAGTATAGGGTGAGCGCGAAAGAGCGAGAAATCATAAAAGAACAAATTGATGAAATGCTCAGAGACGGCATAATTAGGCCATCCTCGAGTCCATGGTCCTTCCCTGTAATCTTGGTCAAGAAGCGAGATGGTAAGTACAGATTTTGCGTTGACTACAGAAAATTGAATGATGTAACAGTGAAGGATGTTTACCCAATTCCCAGAATTGATGAAGTATTGGATACACTTCAAGGATCCAAATACTTTTCAGCAATTGACCTTAAATCAGGATATTGGCAAGTAGAGGTTGAGGAGAAAGATAAAGAAAAGACAGCCTTCACTACAGCACATGGCCTATATGAGTTCAACGTAATGCCCTTTGGTCTATGCAATGCCCCTGCTACATTTGAGAGGAACATGGAAAATATGCTTGGTAATCTTAGATGGCAAATTTGCTTATGTTATCTAGATGACGTAATCATTTATAGCTCGGATTTTTCAACACATCTCAAAAGAATAGAGGCTGTTTTAAAATGTTTTCGCGAGGCTAATTTAAAATTGAACAACAAAAAATGCCAATTTGCTTTCGAAGAACTGGAGATTCTTGGCCATATAACTAATCAACATGGTATAAAACCAGCGGAGCATAATATCAAGGCTATTAGAGATTTTCCTCGGCCCAAAAAGATAAAAGAAGTTCAATCATTTTTAGGAATGTGCTCATATTATAGAAAATTTATCAAAGGTTTTTCAAAAATTGCCGATCCATTAACCAGTCTTATAAAAAAGAATGTACCTTTTACCTGGACAGAAAATCAAGAAAAAGCATTTCAAACCCTTAAAGTAGCATTGATAAATCCTCCAATCTTAGGGCACTTTGACCCGAATGCAATTACTTACATTCATACTGACGCATCTAACATCGGCCTGGGTGCAACATTAGTCCAAAAGTTCGGCGATAAAGAAAAAGTTATCTCATATTTAAGTCGAACACTGAGCAAACCTGAGCAAAATTATTCGACTACCGAAAAAGAATGTCTAGCTGTTGTGTGGTCAATGTCCAAGTTACGACCCTACCTATATGGAAGGCACTTCAAAATCGTAACTGATCATCACGCACTATGCTGGCTTAAGAATCTGAAAGATCCGACCGGCCGATTAGCACGATGGGCACTGAAGATTCAGGAATATAATTTCGAAATCATACATAAATCGGGTAAAAAACATCTGGACGCTGATGGTCTATCTAGAGGACCCTTACCTGAAAACGAATGGGACGAAGATTATGAAAGACTATTTCTGAATCAAATAATAGACGAAAAGGATGATTTTATTGAGAATATTAAGGAGAACCTTAGTGGAAACAAGCGTTCAATTACACAGAACTTCAAAGAAGAAAATGGGTGTCTCTACAAGAAAAATCCAAATCCTGAAGGTAGGGCATGGTTGCTGGTAGTGCCAAAGAAGAGAAGGAAGGAAGTCATGAGTGAATACCACAACCATATGCTGAATGGCCATCTGGGCGTCGCCAGAACCACTTACCGATTGAAGAATAAATACTATTGGCCTTCCATGTTGAAAGATGTTTCAGAATTTGTAAAGACGTGCCATCTTTGCCAAAGTCGGAAAGGTTCAAATCACTTGCCTTCTGGACTTCTACAACCTATTCCCCCAGCTAACTACCCTTTTGAAAGAATCGGAATTGACTTTGTTGGCCCCTTGCCATCAACGAAAAGAAGAAGGAAGTGGATAATTGTGTTGACTGATTATTATACCAAGTATGCTGAAACAAAGGCAGTATCAGAAGCAACTGTGAAA